AATTCAACCATTCTTCTGATGCAAATAAATCAATTCAACCATTCCTCTGATGCAAATAAATCAATTCAACCATTCTTCTGATGCAAATAAATCAATTCAACCATTCCTCTGATGCAAATAAATCAATTCAACCATTCCTCTGATGCAAATAAATCAATTCAACCATTCTTCTGATGCAAATAAATCAATTCAACCATTCCTCTGATGCAAATAAATCAATTCAACCATTCTTCTGATGCAAATAAATCAATTCAACCATCTCTCTGATGCAAATAAATCAATTCAACCGTCTCTCTGATGCAAATAAATCAATTCAACCATTCCTCTGATGCAAATAAATCGATTCAACCATTCTTCTGATGCAAATAAATCAATTCAACCATCTCTCTAATGCAAATAAATCGATTCAACCATCCTTCTGATGCAGAAAAATCAATTCAACTATCCCTCTGATGCAAATAAATCAATTCAACCATCCTTCTGATGCAGAAAAATCAATTCAACCATCTCTCTAATGAAGAAAAATCCTCATCAGCTTTCAACATAATCATTGCTTGGCATTGAATCATCTTTCGAGTCACTCGCACTCAGGAGTTTGGGCATAGTGACGCCCAAACTCCCAGACCCAATCGCTTACTGGTCCTTTCCGTTTAAGAGAAGTCGAAAAGTGAAGACCCCTATCCGAGAAGTAGGCCAGGTCGCGAGCGATTACGGGGCCGCGCAAAGAACACCATTCATTTACGGGTTTTTTCTCTGTAAATGTTCCGCAGTTGAGATTTGAAGCCAAAAACTTGTACCTAAGCGTTTTCGGGGTTGAGGAATCGATTGGCCTAGTTTATTCTGTTGGATTTCTTAACAAATACCCTGATCTAGCCTTGGTCTAGCGGAACTTTCGTCTCAAGACCAGTGATAAGAAATGAAAGCGGAATGATACAAAAGATTCAACTAAAAATCTTTCTCCCGATTTTCTTTTAATTCCCTTTCCTTCCTCAAGCCTTTCCTTTCCCCATTTTTCCCATTTTCTCATCGAAAATTTGCCCCTCAACTCCGCGGATCGGGTTGCATTATTCACTCGACGTGAGGCCTCTATTTTGCCCAAAAAAAATCACACATTTTTACCAATTCTTTTATGTTTCAATGATAGATATATTTTGATATTATGATTCATTTTGATATATCAAAATACTATTAAAGAGTTTTATCATTTACCAAAGTAAGACAGATATAAGATTTGTTCCAAAAATTCTTGCAACTCTTTCACGTACTCCTTTGGCTCCTTTTGGCATACTCCTCTGGCTCACGTACTCCCTTTGGCTCCTTTTTGGCATACTCCTCTGGCTCACGTACTCCTTTGGCTCCTTTTGGCATACTCCTCTGGCTCACGTACTCCTTTGGCTCCTTTTGGCATACTCCTCTGGCTCACGTACTCCTTTGGCTCCTTTTGGCATACTCCTCTGGCTCACGTACTCCTTTGGCTCCTTTTGGCATACTCCTCTGGCTCACGTACTCCTTTGGCTCCTTTTGGCATACTCCTCTGGCTCACGTACTCCTTTGGCTCCTCCTTTTGCTCCCGGTTGTGGGCCGGCGAGTTGACAATTTGTGTGTTGACAAACAACAAAAAAAGATGTTTTTGCCCTTTGCACAACAATTTTAGATTTTTAGATTTTTTGCTAACTTTTTCATGTGAAGAATAGTTAATAAATGAATAAAAAAAGCCTGAATAGCTTTAGAATAGCTGAATAGCTTTAGAAAGTCACATAAACATAAAGTCAAAAAGGTTTAGATGAAAAAGAAGCACCAGAAATTCAAATTTTCGTTGGTGCACTACTATTTTTTCAATCCCCTCTCGGACCGCAATATTATTAAAGAGTGCACTATTATTAGAGAGAACACGAAAAGGGCCGATAAAAAGCAACACGATATAATATATGTAATATATGGGTAGCACAGATAACGTCAAGGATCCACTGGAGCAAGGATCCACTAGGTAGCATCAAGGATCCACTAGGTAGCGTCAAGGATCCACCAGGTAGCGTCAAGGATCCACTAGGTAGCGTCAAGGATTCACTAGGTAGCGTCAAGGATCCACTAGGTAGCGTCAAGGATCCACTAGGTAGCGTCAAGGATCCACTGGGTAGCGTCAAGGATCCACTGGGTAGCGTCAAGGATATTTTGATATTATGATTTATTTTTTACTATTTCTTTCCTTTTACCAATCGCATACACTTTGTGCCGGCTTATCTATTGACTGAAAAAAAAAAGATTGAAAAAAGAGCACCACTACGCATTTTTCTTCACTTTCTTCACCTAAAACTGACACTTTTTTTGTTTGTTTTTCATTATATGAGCTTTAGAATTGCAGCTTTAAAGTAATTGTTGCAGTAATTGTTTTTTCTTTTAAACTAATGATGATTGTTTGTTTTCTAGAATCATAGTTTAGCTATAATAATCATAGTTTAGCTAATATAATAATCAAAGCTTTAAATTTACGTGAGATTCCCAAAAAAAAACTATGAAATTACATTTGGAATTATATTGATTTAAAAGAAAACAGTCCATTATTGAATTATTGAATTATTGAATTATAAATTGAATTATATTCAATTATAAATTGAATTATTGAATTATTGAATTATAAATTGAATTATAAATTGAATTATATATTGAATTATATTAATTATTATGAAGCTATTTTCGAAAATTAATCAAAAACGAAAGCTTTACCTTGTGAAAACAATTTGTTGGCTTTGTTATCAATCAATAGCTTTGTTATCAATCAATAGCTTTGTTATCAATCAATAGCTTTGTTATCAATCAATGGCTTTGTTATCAATCAATCAATGGCTTTGTTATCAATCAAGAGCTTTGTTATCAATCAATAGCTTTGTTATCAATCAATAGCTTTGTTATCAATCAATAGCTTTGTTATCAATCAATAGCTTTGTTATCAATCAATAGCTTTGTTATCAATCAATAGCTTTGTTATCAATCAATAGCTTTGTTATCAATCAATCAATAGCTTTGTTATCAATCAATAGCTTTGTTATCAATCAATGGCTTTGTTATCAATCAATAGCTTCGTTATCAATCAATAGCTTTGTTATCAATCAATAGCTTTGTTATCAATCAATGGCTTTGTTATCAATCAATAGCTTTATTATCAATCAATAGCTTTGTTATCAATCAATAGCTTTATTATCAATCAATAGCTTTGTTATCAATCAATAGCTTTATTATCAATCAATCAATGGCTTCGTTATCAATCAATAGCTTTGTTATCAATCAATGGCTTTGTTAACTTTATTACATCTTAAATGTTACATGTTAAATCTCTTAGTCATCGCCACTTGGTCGCGGATTTAATAGAATGTTTCAAAATTGTAAAAGACGGGCAACCTATCCCTCTTTTTCGAGATTTATTCAAAGCTAATCCCACGGTTAGTTCAAGGAGAGGTTCTTTCGTTTTAAAAATTTCGTTTTAGATTTCGTTTTAGATTTCGTTTTAGATTTCGTTTTAGATTTCGTTTTAGAAATTCCAGTCACCTCTAATAAGTTTGTGTATAACTCTTTTCCAATAGGAACTGCCAGAATTTGGAATCGACTCCCCAGAGTCTTGAGAGAGTCCAATAGTCTCGAAACCTTTAAATTATCTGTAGATGATCTTGATCTTGAAGACCAGCTCTTGATCTTGAAGCTCTAGTGGATCCTTGACGCTACCTAGTGGATCCTTGACGCTACCTAGTGGATCCTTGACGCTACCTGGTGGATCCTTGACGCTACCCAGTGGATCCTTGACGCTACCCAGTGGATCCTTGACGCTACCTGGTGGATCCTTGACGCTACCCAGTGGATCCTTGACGCTACCCAGTGGATCCTTGACGCTACCCAGTGGATCCCTGACGCTACCTGGTGGATCCTTGACGCTACCCAGTGGATCCTTGACGCTACCCAGTGGATCCTTGACGCTACCCAGTGGATCCTTGACGCTACCTGGTGGATCCTTGACGCTACCCAGTGGATCCTTGACGCTACCCAGTGGATCCTTGACGCTACCTGGTGGATCCTTGACGCTACCCAGTGGATCCTTGACGCTACCCAGTGGATCCTTGACGCTACCCAGTGGATCCTTGACGCTACCTGGTGGATCCTTGACGCTACCCAGTGGATCCTTGACGCTACCCAGTGGATCCTTGACGCTACCTGGTGGATCCTTGACGCTACCCAGTGGATCCTTGACGCTACCCAGTGGATCCTTGACGCTACCCAGTGGATCCTTGACGCTACCCAGTGGATCCTTGACGCTACCCAGTGGATCCTTGACGCTACCTAGTGGATCCTTGACGCTACCTAGTGGATCCTTGACGCTACCTAGTGGATCCTTGACGCTACCTAGTGGATCCTTGCTCCAGTGGATCCTTGCTCCAGTGGATCCTTGACGTTATCTGTGCTACCCATATATTACATATATTATATCGTGTTGCTTTTTATCGGCCCTTTTCGTGTTTATGTGTATGAATTCATGTGTTTTAATGTTAATCAATCAATCAATAGCTTCTTTATCAATCAATCAATGGCTTTGTTAACTTTGACTTTGTTAACTAAGTTAACTAAGTTATCTCAGGTTACTTTATCACTTTACTTTAACTAAGTTAACTTTGTTTCCCTTGCTTAATTTGTTGATTTTTAGGTTAATTCTGAATTTCTTATCTTTAAATTTATCTATTTGCAATCTCTAGTCATATTTCAATCAAAATGCGCTTTTTAAGTAGATATCTTTCAATTTCATTTCACATATTAAACTGTTTAGAAAGTCTTTTTCGGTTTTTTTCGTTTTTTCTTCTTTTTTTCGTAATCCCGTTTAAAACCATTTAATTTCTCTTCTTTTTATTTTTTATCCAATTCTTTCGTTGAACTCAAACTTTTAGGGTTTTCCCTCACTAAAATCTCATCTTCTTCAAAAGAAGTCAATTCAAAAGAAGTCAATTCAATCAAATTTTCAAATGAATCAAGGTCTTCTCACTCAAAAAGCACTCGAGTCAATACGGGCACTCGACGAGAACAAAAATCAGAGTAAGTGAGAGGGAAATGGTTGAAAAAAGCTGCAAAATAGAATTAGGCTGCTTTTATGCTGAATTAGGCTGCTTTGATGCAGAATTAGGCTGCTTTGATGCAGAATTAGGCTGCTTTTATGCAGAATTAGGCTGCTTTTATGCAGAATTAGGCTGCTTTTACGACTTTTAGCAAATCATAAAGCACAAAGTATAAAGCACAAAGTATAAAGCACAAAGTATAAACAGTCCAATTACCAAAGTTCCAAAGTTAAACCTTCCTTTTGCATCTCTTAAAAGATCAAAAGCCTTTCTTACAAGATCAAAAGCCTTTCTTACAAGATCAAAAGCCAGTTTTTTTCTCCTCAAATTATCCGGTTTCAAATTTCTGCGATTCTTGCAAATTTTCTGTCATCAGGTGATCACGGAAAAGTCCACCAGATCAGCACTTTTTTTTTTTGGCGAAAATCCAATTCCAATTTATTTCAATTCACCACCGAAATGGCAAGCGTAGGCAAAAACGGGATTCATCAGATAAGAGAACGAATTGCTCCAAAAAACAGTCGTAAATTCTTTTGTTTGGGGAAGAATGACAGGCTTTGAAAGAAAGAACAAAGTTCTAAAGTGATTGGAGTGGCAGTTTTGCATTGAATATTGCTAGAAGTAATCGAAAATGATAGCTGATTACTGTAACCGAATTGGGCTGGTTTACTGGGTCAGATTACTGTAGCTCGATTGGAATACTGTAGCTTGGGGGATTACTGTAGCTTGATTGGATTACTGTAGCTCGATTGGATGACTGTAGCTGGATTGGAAGGGTTTATTAGGTCAGATTACTGTAGCTCGATTGGATTGTATATAAGGCGCGTATATAAGACCGCATGTACAGGGTGGCTGATAATTACGTGCGCCAAAGAAAACGCCATAATTTAATTTTCTTTCAAAGAAAATGTAAAAATCTTTATTTATATAATAGTTGTAACAAAAGCATTTAATAATCACAAGAAATTTTTGAAGTGGCCTCCATCCGCTTTGATACAGGCTTCAATTTGCTTCTTTACAGAATCGACGGTGCGGCGGAGATAATTTGCATCTAAGTCGTTCCAGATTTTGATCAATTCTCGACGTAAATCATTCAAATTGGTGATTTTCCTATTTCTCAATTGTTCTTCCATAAAACCCCAAACCGAAAAGTCCAACGGATTGAGATCCGGGCTGTTTGCAGGCCATTGATCCTTTGTCACAAAAGAGCCAATTTTGGTTTCGAGAAAGCGAATTGTTGTTTTGGCTCCGTGGGCCGGCGCCCAATCTTGTTGAAGGGTCAAATTGGAATGGCTCCTCTTCCATGGCACCACAGCTTTCTCGAGAATCTCTTTTTGATAGACTTTTGCGTTAATCTTCACATTTTTATCGATAAAAACCAACGGGGTCTTGCCCGAAGCACTGATGCCACCTCAAACCATCAAACTTTTTGGAAACAGACCTTTTGTAGCGAATTTTCGTTTACGAGTGCTCTTTAGAGCTGGACTGAGAAGTTGACGGTGATTTTGTGAGTTTTTAGCCACTTCCAAGGTGAAAATTTTCTCATCCGACCAAAGAACATCGCAATTTCTTGCATTTGTCCTTCCGGTTTTGATTGGCTTGATCGGTGAGCACTTGCCCGTTTAACAGTCGATAACTTCGAAGTCCGAGCTCATTTTTCACTATCGATTGAACCGAGAAACGCGAAATTTGAAGCTGTTTTGCCATCTTGTTCAAACTACGATCGTCTTTTCGCTCGATCCTCCTCTTGATGATCCCACGCATCTTTCGGGTGTTAACGGTCCTCTTTCGTCCTCTTCCGGGCTTGGACTGAACATGCCCCTCATCTTTCCATTGCTTTACGATCTTCTGGACGGTCCTCAGAGCCACCCCAAGCCTCGATGCGATCGACGAGTTCTTCATGCCGCTCGTCGCCAGCTGTGCGATTGCGTCCCGACTAGCGCACGTCTTTGTCATGACCTAGAAAACAACTTTTTTAACAAAAAATTATTAGACCACGATAAAAAGAATATTAAAACACAAAAAGATGAGTAGTAATGCTTTATACATTGTTTAAAACTATGATGCTGATGCTGCGCGCACGTAATTGTCAGCCACCCTGTATATAAGACCGCGTGTATATAAGACCGCGCGTATATAAGACCGCGCGTATATAAGACGGCGCGTATATAAGACCGCGCGTATAAAAGACGGGGCGTATATAAGGCGGCGCGTATATAAGACCGCGCGTATATAGGGCTACACGTATATAAGGCTGCACGTATATAAGGCTGCACGTAACAGTTCCTTCGCCTTTCACCGCACAAATCACTTCAGCAACAGATCTCGCAGACAGACCTTATTTCTAATAGTGACGGAGCAAAAAATAAAGTTCCCTTGATCTATCTAAAGATGTTGAATGTATAAAGTAAGTTATATAACAAAATGCTCGCAAGAGAAGAGACTTTTAAAAGCCAAAAACCATAAGAATCCATTGTTAAAATAATTGGATAATTTGAGGTCTTCTGCAAGTGACCGGGAATTTAGTAGCAAACTAACAGCAAACTAACAAACTAACTAGCAAACTAACTAGCAAACTAGCAAACTAACTAGCAAACTTGCAAACTAGCAAACTAACAGCATAGAACTTTATCGTTCGAATGGCCAGTTAAGCGAAAAATGGCTTCGTGGAAAAATGGCTCAAATGCAAACGAAAACTAAGTTTATTATGAAGTTCTAACCCTGGGTAAAAACTTAGTTAATTACTCGTTAATTACTAAGTTAATTACTCGTTAATTACTAAGTTAATTACTCGTTAATTACTAAGTTTTCAGAGCTATGGACCCTTTCCTCGATCCGTTTACAAACTGCTTTAATGTTGTGTCTATCGATGGCTTGCAATGGATTGATGAGAGGAAGCATGTCATTGGCTATTGTTTGTATGGTGGCCAGGTAGAGGAGCTTTCTAAATATCTACACTTCTACCGTAATCCTAAACCAATCTAACTGACCAATCTAACTGACCAATCCAACTGTCATTCTCCAGAAAACTCCCTTCATTCGAAGAAATTCCACAAAACTCGACAAGTCTACTAGTTGAAGGCAAAGAAGATTCATTCAATGTAAGCTTTATTACTGTAGTATTATTATTTAGACATTATCAAGCTACTGTAATCAATTTTCAGCGAGAATTCCAAGTGGATTGGTCATCGGAAGAGCAGGGACATGTGCACACTGCTTTTTACATCGGAGCCTTTATCGCAATCTTGGCCACCGATTGGATCATTAGGAAGTGAGTGAAAGGATTACTCTAGAGATCACTAGGATTACTCTAGAGGGTACTGTAGCTATAGAATACTTTAGATTACAGTACTCTGTTCACTCTACAATACCATTTAACTACAGTACTGTAGTAGTGCCCTTCAACTCCTTCACCATACCGCCAATCGATTCCACTTTTTAGCTCACTTTTAGTAAGAAAAGGAAATAAAGCTGTTAAGGCTGCTTTAAAAAGTCGTTTTCTTTTTCTAACTCTGATTAAAAGATACAAAAAGAGCAATTAATAGACAAAATGAATACCAATCGATAGATAGAGCTTCCTAAAAGTTTAGACAAATTAAACCCCGAGTTCCAATTGGTAGACTCAATAAAATCCATCTCGCCAATCGATTCGGCGACCATGAAAACCCCCTGATACAAATCTATAGCTGAATATCTTCATTTAAGGTCATTCACTAAGCAAAAGAGAAATCTCTGAAATGACCGGCGAGGTGTCCTTTGTGCGGGCGCGTAATCGCTCCCAATCTGGCATCCTTTACGGATAGGCCTCTTCCCTTTTCGTCTTCCCTTAAAGGGAAAGGACCGGTGAGCGATTGGGAGTTTGGGCGTCACTATACCCAAACTCCCAATCGTTTGGGAGTTTGGGCCTCACTATACCCAAACTCCTGGGTACGAGTGACTCGAAAGATGATTCAATGCCAAGCAATGATTATGGAAAGATGATTCAGTGTGAAGCGATAATGATGTGAACCTGGCATACTTTTCGGATAGGGGTTTTCGTCTTCCCTTAAACCGAAAGGACCAGTAAGCGATTGGGAGTTTGGGCGTCACTATGCCCAAACTCCTGAGTGGGAGTGACTCGAAAGATGATTCAATGCCAAGCAATGATTATGTTGAAAGATGATAAGGATTTTTCTGGATTAGAGGGATGGTTGAATTGATTTATTTGCATCAGAGGGATGGTTGAATTGATTTATTTGCATTAGAGAGATGGTTGAATTGATTTATTTGCATCAGAGAGATGGTTGAATTGATTTATTTGCATCAGAGGGATGGTTGAATTGATTTATTTGCATCAGAGAGATGGTTGAATTGATTTATTTGCATCAGAGAGATGGTTGAATTGATTTATTTGCATCAGAGGGATGGTTGAATTGATTTATTTGCATCAGAGAGATGGTTGAATTGATTTATTTGCATCAGAGGGATGGTTGAATCGATTTTTCTTCATTAGAGAGAGGATTGAATCGATTTTTCTGCATCATCGAATCGATTTATGCTTAAACTCCAATTTTTACCTTGAATTCTGCTATTTTTGCGATTTTGCTATAAATCCCGGATCCCTCAAAATCCAACTTAAAAGCAATCAAGCTGGATAGTGGCAATCCAGCCTGAACAATCAGCAAAGCCTGGCAAAAGACCAAAATTTAGCCTTCTGCTGGTTTTAAAGTATTTTGTGACACAAAAAAGATCCGATATGGAAAAATTGGGTGGTGTGGGGTAGTGTAGAAACATTGGATCGCACCCTATCTCTGGCAGGGTACTGTTGAACAGCGAAAAACTCTTGAACAGTGACAAATTCACCTCTGACATCGAATCCAATTCTAGAATGGATCCTCGCACCATCCTTTCTTTTGCTCTTCTCCTCAATGTAATCGGTGCCTTCCTCACTCCATTCACCGTCATTTTTCTCAAAATTCACTTCTATGTGGCCGCTCTTCGGTTCATGATGGGTTTTGGAAGTGGTGAGTGCTTTAATCTTGGTTCATTTACCCAATTTTACCTCAAATTCGTCATTTCCCCCAAATCGAACGGTCAATTACCGCTCGAATTAGCGATTCTGAGTTTGTTTGACTTCGGTTTGACTTGTTTGACTTACTTACTCAATTCTTTTTGCAACCTGAAACAGTCTCAATTACTCAAGTCGTTTACAAGGCTTAGCTTAGTTACTCAATCCAATTTTAAACTAATTTTGTCTCGGTTCAATTACCTAATCAATTTACAGGTCTAATCGCTCCATGTGGCCTCTTTATCATCTCAAAATGGTTCCCAATCACTGAAAAAAGCACAGCTGTTGCTATTTTCACTACTGGAAATCAGGTTAGCCGAATAAGCAATCAGAATAAGGTGTAAATTTCCAGCTAGGCGTCGCTCTGTCGATGGTTCTCACGGCAAAACTCTGCCAGCTTTCCTGGGGTGGAGGGTGGCCGAATGCTTTCGTTTTGTATGGTAAGTGTTCGTAACTAATTAGAAATATGAATTCTTGTGCTGGATCTGGATCATTTGGCTCTAAAGCATGTAAGTCAGTCTAGGGTCAAGCCAGCAGCCAGACCATCTTGTTCTTGGCCTTACTAGGTTGTTGGCCTTACCAGACTTTCTGATGAACGATAGATCGAAGAACTGCTGGGCTCAGGCTGGTCAAGCCAGCAGCCAGACCAGCTTGTTCTTGGCCTTACTAGGTCTTGACTTTCTGATGAACGATAGATCGAAGAACTGCTGGGCTCAGGCTGGTCAAGCCAGCAGCCAGACCAGCTTGTTCTTGGCCTTACTAGGTCTTGACTTTCTGATGAACGATAGATCGAAGAACTGTTGGGCTCAGAAGCTAGACCTGCATTAGATCTGCAATAGTCAGACTATCTCTCTGACTTGGCCTAGCCCAAGCCAAAGCCTGACTGCTGGGTGTTCCTGAATAATTAGGCCTGTAATATTCAGGCCTTATTCAGGAAGGCCTGTAATATTCGGGTCAGGAGCAGTCAAGGCAGTTCAGGTCAGACCTAGCTTCCCGTTTGGCCATCCTTACCTAGACTGTAACAGCTAACAGCAGGTCCTGTACCTGTAACAGCTAACAAGTCCTGTACCTGTAACAACAAGAGCCAGAAAGCCAGTAGCTTGAAACTGATGATCACATTTATTTCCAGGTTTCCTCACCCTCTTTTTCGTTATCCTATGGCAATTAAGGGGGAGTTCCCGGCCGAGATCCTCGAAATACATCACTGCAACAGAGCTCGAGTATATCACCGGTAAAATAATAAAATAAACCGATCAAATAATCCAAGACGAGTATAGGATAGAACTAGCTTTAAAGTATAGAAAATTTTAAACTAGAAAATTTTAAACTATAACATTTTAAACTAGAAAATTTCAAACTTACCGTAACTTTCTAGGCCGTCGGGGGATTAAATGCCGTGCGAAGAGCGTCGTTTTGGACACTCCATGGAGAAATGTTCGGTTTTGATCTAAATTACCAAGTTTACCTACTCCGCTTTCAGATCCTTCTCTCGAAATGCGTTTTTGCAATTTGTGTGAACGCTTTCGCGCAATCGTTTGTTCTCACCGGTTTAATCACTTATTTACCAAAAATTCAATCAAGAGGCTTTGAAAATGGATGTGGATACGGTAGGTTTTAGTAAATTATAGTTTTTTGATAAGTTGATTAGCTGATTATTAGTTGATTTTATTAGTTAATTAGCTTGGTAATTGATTCAAAAAGCTTTAGACTAGAAGCCTAGAAGCCTAGAAGAGTTAGAAGACTAGAAGAGTTAGAAGACTAGAAGCCTAGAAGACTAGAAGACTAGAAGAGTTAGAAGACTAGAAGAGTTAGAAGACTAGAAGACTAGAAGCCTAGAAGACTAGAAGACTAGAAGAGTTAGAAGACTAGAAGAGTTAGAAGACTAGAAGACTAGAAGCCTAGAAGACTAGAAGACTAGAAGAGTTAGAAGACTAGAAGAGTTAGAAGACTAGAAGACTAGAAGCCTAGAAGACTAGAAGACTAGAAGAGTTAGAAGACTAGAAGAGTTAGAAGACTAGAAGCCTAGAAGCCTAGAAGAGTTAGAAGACTAGAAGAGTTAGAAGACTAGAAGACTAGAAGCCTAGAAGACTAGAAGACTAGAAGAGTTAGAAGACTAGAAGAGTTAGAAGACTAGAAGACTAGAAGCCTAGAAGACTAGAAGACTAGAAGAGTTAGAAGACTAGAAGAGTTAGAAGACTAGAAGACTAGAAGCCTAGAAGACTAGAAGCCTAGAAGACTAGAAGACTAGAAGAGTTAGAAGACTAGAAGAGTTAGAAGCCTAGAAGACTAGAAGAGTTAGAAGCCTTGAAGCTTTGTAAACTTGAAGCCACTGATTCATTTTCCCATCAACTTTGCGCTTAAACTCTTCCGGTTCAATTACCCAACTTGACAATTACCCTCAATAGAGATCTCTATTGAGCTAGAGATCAATCAATTGAGCTAGAGATCTCTATTAAGCTAAAGATCTCTATTGAACTAGCGATCTCTATTGAGCTAGAGATCCTATTAAGCTAGAGATCATTCAATTGAGCTAGAGATCAATCAATTGAGCTAGAGATTAATCAATTGAGCTAGAGATCTCTATTGAGCTAGAGATCTCTATTGAACTAGAGATCAATCAATTGAGCTAGGAGCTAGAGATCTCTATTGAACTAGAGATCTCTATTAAGCTAGAGATCTCTATTGAGCTAGAGCTCTCTATTGGGCTAGAGATCAATCAATTGAGCTTTTATTAAATTTTTAGAACGGAATCTGGTGTTCTGTACCGTTTTTCATACAAATGGTAACTAAAATGTTGTTCGGTTTATCGGCGGATGCGACAAAGAAAAGAGGTGTCCCTGCGACAAGTGTCACAAAGGCTTTCAACGTTGTCGGTGAGTTGAAAAGCTCCCATTCAACTCCCATTCAACTCCCAACCATTTTAGCAACATTTGCCTCGGGTTCGTGCATTATGGTGGCTCCAATATTAGCCAATGTTTCGCCAACTCTCTCAATGTTGTCAATCTGTTTGGCAATGGGACTCTTCGGGGCATTTGTACCCGGCTACAATACAGCCATTGTTTGTGTCGCACCGCAGGTGAATAGAAAAAGAATAAAGCTATCAATTACAAGCTACAGGACTGAAATTTGAAATTCTGAACCTTAGAACCTTTCTAGACATTCTAGAACCCCACAGTAACCAACAGTACTCAATCCAGAGCTTTATCTGGATTGAGATATCTGGATTATCTATTAATACATCTATTATTAGGTTGGCGGGGAAATAATGCGCATTTTTTGACCCGAATTTCTCGAGTTTTTATCTTAAAAAAACAATAAATAAAACAGTAAATAAAACAATAAATAAAACAGTAAATAAAACAATAAATAAAGAGGATTAATCTAAAAGGAGTCTCCATTATTATTTAAGAAATCATTCCATCTTTTGCACAATTCAATAATTCCATCTTCAAAGAACAACGAAAAATAGTTGGTGACCGCATTTTCGACTTCCTGGGAATCCTTGAACAGCTAATCGGAGATGAACTGCTTTAGAGACCTGAATAAGTGATAGTCTGATGAGGCCAAGTCAGGGCTGTATGGGGCGTGAGGTAGAAGCCAATCTCTTCGATTTGTCGGAGTCCAGCCCAGCTCTTCGATTTGTTGGAGTCCAGCCAATCTCTTCGATTTGTTGGAGTCCAGCCAATCTCTTCGATTTGTTGGAGTCCAGCCAATCTCTTCGATTTGTCGGAGTCCAGCCAATCTCTTCGATTTGTCGGAGTCCAGCCAATCTCTTCGATTTGTTGGAGACCAGCCCAGCTCTTCGATTTGTTGGAGACCAGCCCAGCTCTTCGATTTGCTGGAGTCCAGCCCAGCTCTTCGATTTGCTGGAGTCCAGCCAATCTCTTCGATTTGTCGGAGTCCAGCCAATCTCTTCGATTTGTTGGAGTCCAGCCAATCTCTTCGATTTGTCGGAGTCCAGCCCAGCTCTTCGATTTGTTGGAGTCCAGCCAATCCAATAAGCAAACACAATCTCTGTTTTCTCTGTTTGTCTGACTTTCCCAAGAGCACGAGTTAAAAATTCGCATTATTTTCCCGCCAACCTAATAGTACTCGAATCTTACGGCACTTCCAGTCTAAAGCTTAAGCTTAGACTGGAAGTGCTTAGACTTAAGCTTCATAGCTTAAGATTAGCTAGTCATAAGATTAGCTAGATCATAGCTAAGCTAGCCATAAGCTAAGCTAGCCATAACCTAAGACGAAGCTGGAATGCTTTAAACGAAAATGTAAAGACTCAATCCTTCTGTAAATCCTCAATATCTATAATACACTTTTCCAGTTCACCGCCACAATCTCCTCCTATCAACAACTTTATTCACAAGTTGGCAGCTTTCTTGCACCATTCCTCATCGGAATCCTCACAACAAGGGTTTGTTTTGGCATTTTGAAACAATCATGTTCAGCCAATCTCTTCGATTTGTTGGAGTCATTAACTCATAACATTAATTGGAATCAACTTTCCAGTATTTTAAGGATTTAAAACTAGACTAGTTTTCTAGTTTGTTAGGTTTCTAGTTTGTTAGATTCCTTGTTTGTTAGATTCCTTGTTTGTTAGGTTTCTTGTTTGTTAGGTTTCTAGTTTGTTAGATTCCTTGTTTGTTAGATTCCTTGTTTGTTAGATTCCTTGTTTGTTAGGTTTATTGTTTGTTAGGTTTATTGTTTGTTAGGTTTATTGTTTGTTAGGTTTATTGTTCGATAGTAGAATATTACATTCAATATTACATTTACAATATTACATTCAGTGACCTAAACTCTTTATTTCTTTAATCAATTTCAAATCTTGTGAACTATTGAAAGAGCTCTTGGAGCTGTGAATTGATTTAACCGATTACTGATGAACTTGGCACTAGACTTTAACGAGACAGATCGAAAAATCGCTTTTGAAGAGGGATTTTTGGAAAAGAAAAATCTGCTTGGTCTAAATTTACTCTCAAACAATCGCTCATATCTTGTGACCAGTTTGTTTGTTTTTGTTCATTTAGGTATCAAATTAAAGTAGAGAAAATGTGTGTTTTGTTGGTATATAAAAGATATTTTTAGGGTTAACCAGTGCTTAGAAAAAAATGATTGAAAAATGGCAAAAATCGACTTGAAAAAAGCTTGCATTAAAAGAACCGCTCATATCTCGACGCCCCGACATTTGTTTCTGCGTGCTTAGATATCAAATTAAAGCAGAGAAAATAAGTGTTTTGTTGGTATATAAGAGATATTTTTAGGGTTAACCAGTGCTTAGAAAAAAGTGATTGAAAAAGGATGTAAAATGATGAAAAATCTGCTTAGTCTAAATTTACTCTCAAACAGTCGCTCATATCTTGTGACCAGTTTGTTTGTTTTTGTTCATTTAGGTATCAAATTAAAGTAGAGAAAATGTGTGTTTTGTTGAGATATAAGAGATATTTTTAGCGTTAACCAGCGCTTAGAAAAAAGTGATTGAAAATCGGCGAAAATTGGGGAAAAATCGCTTTTTTGATCCGAATTGAATCAGATGAGATCCGAATATCAAATCACTCCTTTTCCTTATCCCTTTCCATTACTCCATCCCCTTTCCATCACTCCTTTTCCTTGTCCCCATTCAAACAGCTCTTTCCCGCGGCGTCCTTCTTTTCTGTGCGTTCTCTGCACTCCACCCTCCTCTTTGTGCGTTCTCTAAACGAGAGATCACACAGCTTGAAGAGATCTCAAAGATTTCCCCTCTAATCGCTCGCTTTCTACCCCATCGTGCCCCCATAACCGGCTCCTCTTCACCCCACATAAACTTACCTGGCTGGGGGGCTCTCGCGATCATCAAGGCGGGACCCCCATGGCGAGGCTCGGCCATTGCACTTTAGGCTGGGTTGACCTGTGTGGCAGTCCCGAGTTGGGATTCGCTAACAGCTTAATTTTTGCGTGAGGGGCTGCGTTCGCGCGGCCCTGCTAAAGAACAAGAGTGAAATGAAAACGTGTAAAGTTCAACGCTCAAGAGACTGGATCAAACGTTGCCTTGCCTTGCCTTTGCCTCAAAGCTCCACTCAAATATGGTACTTCAAATGCGCATGGTCGTCACAAGAAGCTCTCCAAACGGGCCGAACGCCATATCAGAAACAAAGCCTCAAACTCAACGAGGTCGGCAAATGAAATCAAGTGTGATTTGCAACTTCCAGTGTCAAAGTGGGCTGTTCTGAGAACCATCAACTCTTCTCCACATCTCACACGTCAGGTGATGAAGCCAGCACCTCGCTTAACTGCCATCCACAAACAGAACAGGTTGATCTTTGCTCGCGCAAACATGGCGACTAAGCGGAATCAGGTACAACTAACCGGAATCAGTCCAACTGTAAAGTCCAACTGTAAAGTCCAACTGTAAAGTCCAACTGTAAAGTCCAACCGTAGCGTCCAACTGTAGCGTCCAACTGTAAAGTCCAACTGTAAAGTCCAACTGTAAAGTCCAACTGTAGCGTCCAACTGTAAAGTCCAACTGTAAAGTCCAACTGTAAAGTCCAACTGTAGCGTCCAACTGTAAAGTCCAACTGTAGCGTCCAACTGTAAAGTCCAACTGTAAAGTCCAACTGTAAAGTCCAACTGTAGCGTCCAACTGTAAAGTCCAACTGTAGCGTCCAACTGTAAAGTCCAACTGTAAAGTCCAACTGTAAAGTCCAACCGTAGCGTCCAACCGTAGCGTCCAACCGTAGCGTCCAACTGTAGCGTCCAACTGTAGCGTCCAACTGTAGCGTCCAACTGTAAAGTCCAACTGTAAAGTCCAACTGTAAAGTCCAACTGTAGCGTCCAACTGTAAAGTCCAACTGTAGCGTCCAACTGTAAAGTCCAACTGTAAAGTCCAACTGTAAAGTCCAACCGTAGCGTCCAACCGTAGCGTCCAACTGTAGCGTCCAACTGTAGCGTCCAACTGTAGCGTCCAACTGTAAAGTCCAACTGTAAAGTCCAACTGTAAAGTCCAACTGTAGCGTCCAACTGTAAAGTCCAACTGTAGCGTCCAACTGTAAAGTCCAACTGTAGCGTCCAACCGTAGCGTCCAACTGTAGCGTCCAACTGTAGCGTCCGACTGTAAAGTTAGTTGACTTTATTTAACTTCAGTTGCTTCATTTAGCACATCAGAGATGAGAAAATGATATTTATATGTTACGTTCGTTATTGAATTGTTTTTGAATCGATATTTGAACAATGAAAAATCTGCTTGGTCTAAATTTACTCTTAAACAATCGCTCATATCTCGACACCAGTATCTTTGTTTCAGCGTACTTAGATATCAAGTTAAAGTAGAGAAAATGGGTGATTTCTTGATATATAACGCTTATTTTTAGCGTTAACCAGTGCTTAGAAAAAGATGATTGAAAAATGATGAAAAATGATGAAAAATCTGCTTAGTCTAAATTTACTCTCAAACAGTCGCTCATATCTTGTGACCAGTTTGTTTGTTTTTGTTCATTTAGGTATCAAATTAAAGTAGAGAAAATGTGTGTTTTATTGAGATATAAGAGATATTTTTAGCGTTAACCAGCGCTTAGAAAAAAGTGATTGAAAAATGGCAAAAATCGACTTGAAAAAAGCTTGCATTAAAAGAACCGCTCATATCTCGACGCCCGGACATTTGTTTCTGCGTGCTTAGATATCAAATTAAAGCAGAGAAAATAAGTGTTTTGTTGGTATATAAGAGATATTTTTAGGGTTAACCAGTGCTTAGAAAAAGATGATTGAAAAATGATGAAAAATGATGAAAAATCTGCTTAGTCTAAATTTACTCTCAAACAGTCGCTCATATCTTGTGACCAGTTTGTTTGTTTTTGTTCATTTAGGTATCAAATTAAAGTAGAGAAAATGTGTGTTTTGTTGGTATATAAAAGATATTTTTAGGGTTAACCAGTGCTTAGAAAAAAATGATTGAAAAATGGCAAAAAAGGCGATTTTTTTGGATGGTATAAACTATCAAAAGTTGGTTTTGCAGTAAATCTATACCAATATCACGATTATCAAGATACTAAAAAAGCTTAATATCTAATCTACAAGTTCAAATTTAAAAGCTTTATTACAATTTTAGCAAGATAAACTTTTCTCAAAGAAAAATTTCATTGTTTAGCTTTAGATTGGATTTTGTAGCTTTATTTTATCATAATAATCTTTGTAAATTGCTATAAAATAGCCTAATCAATATCCAAAAATAGTTTTCTTTTGAAATTTGGAAGAATTTGGAAGAAAAAGCAGAAAAAACTAGCCAAAACCGCTGACTCACTAAAAAGTCGTCCCTTTCCCTTTCCCCCGCGTTCTCTGTGTGTTCTCTGTGCACGCGCGTAATCGCTTTCTTTTTGACGCACGCCTTTTCCACATACCCCTTCCTTTTCTCCCGTTCCTCAGCTTTGCGCAGAGGCGATAACGTGACCAATGAGGCTTAGCCGAGGTGCGTTTATTGCTGGTTGAAAACTGATACCAATTACCCGTCGCTATCTGCCCTGAAATATGGGTGTTAGCGCAATTTTTGGAAGGCCCTTGGGGCCAACAAATGCCTATAAATGCCTATAAATGCCAACAAATGCCAGCAAAGGCCAACAAATGCCAACAGATGCCAACAAAGGCCAGCAAATCCCAACAAAGGCCAACAAAGGCCAACAAATGCCAACAGATGCCAACAAAGGCCAGCAAATCCCAACAAAGGCCAACAAAGGCCAACAAATGCCTATAAATGCCAACAAAGGCCAACAAATGCCAGCAAAGGCCAGTAAAGGCCAGTAAAGGCCAGCAAAGGCCAACAAATGCCAACAGATGCCAACAAAGGCCAGCAAATCCCAACAAAGGCCAACAAATGCCAACAAATGCCTATAAATGCCAACAGATGCCAACAAAGGCCAACAAATGCCAGCAAAGGCCAGTAAAGGCCAGTAAAGGCCAGCAAAGGCCAACAAATGCCAACAGATGCCAACAAAGGCCAGCAAATCCCAACAAAGGCCAACAAATGCCAACAAATGCCTATAAATGCCAACAGATGCCAACAAAGGCCAACAAATGCCAGCAAAGGCCAGTAAAGGCCAGTAAAGGCCAGCAAAGGCCAACAAATGCCAACAGATGCCAACAAAGGCCAGCAAATCCCAACAAAGGCCAACAAATGCCAACAAATGCCTATAAATGCCTATAAATGCCTGTAAATCTAGAATTTTTGATTCTATTCCGACCAAATTTGATTCCAAGATTGAAAATTGAAAATTTCTTTGATTTCAACCTAGAAGTCAATCTGAATTTCCTAGTTCAGAAGTCATTTTTGTTCTAGTTCTAGTTCTAGTTCTAGTTCTAGTTCTAGTTCTAGTTCTAGTTCTAGTTCTAGTTCTAGATAAGTTAAATTAAGTTCTCTAGATAACTTAAATTCAACTTTATGATCTGATTGAGAAACTAAACCAACCCTGTTTTCTCGCTTTACCATTTAATACCATTTAATTTGTACAATTTG